TCAGAAAATACCTAAAAATACTAAACCAAGGGGGAAAAATCTAACAATTATTCACAAGGGTCTACAATATCTATCCATTACACCCACATGGGCCTCTACCCAAAAATCAAGACAAAACTATTTAAAGAAAATGAATTTCTTTACCTATGCACAACCTAAACCCTAATTAGGATACCCTAATGCTACCCTAATTAAACTAATCCAATTATAATCTAAAAATCTAGAATAAATCCTATGGGGAACTATGATTCATCATCTAATCACACAAAAAAGAATGAGTTAAAAAACCTAAGGGAAAGTCCTAAAACAATTCTTGCAAAATAAGGTATCAACTAAAAGGAAGAAAATACACTATATTAAAGAAAATACCCCTAAAAACTCTACATTAAAAATAAAATACCATTTTTATTTTTATATTTTTCTACACAAAATTATCTCAACATAGAAAAAAGAATGAACAAAAAAGAGTTATTTATCCATTTTATATGAATTTTCTAAGATGCTAAAAATATTAAAGAATTAAAAAGAATTTAAAACAATATAAAAGGGAGGGGGTGGAAATAGTAACACGCGCTAGTTGGAATTATTTGGGCCAGATAAAAGGGGGGTGCGGATAGAAGGGATAGGCCCAGGGACCACCGTTTAAGTGAAACGGTGCGTTTCCAATTTCAAATTCTTCCCTCCGTTTTCTGAGCGATCTGGGCCGTGCGATCGAAGGACAAAGTCCACTCTTCCAAAACGAACCAACGGTGGAGATTATCTCTCCTACCTTCAGCCATCTAGGGTTTCATGAAACCCCCTCCATGCACAAACCTTTCCTCTCCTCGCTCTCTCTGCTCAGGCCACGAAACCCTAAAATTCCAACATGAAAATTGCTCTACTAATCAAGAGGAACAAGACTACACGCATACTTTTTCTTAATTCCCTCTAGATCATCCTAACCGAAGCCTGCAAGGTTGTGGTCCAAATGAGATTCACCTGATATCAACCTTCAATAACCTTGAATCTAATGGCATACAGTTACTCTACAAGCTACCCTAACCATTCTAAACCAATTTTCAAATTCAACTTTTCAAACTTATATGCCATTTTTAGTTCATTTTTGACCAATCATGCAAATCCATGCTATGAGCTTTTCCAATAATTCATGACCTTCTTTCTAGACTTAAAATCCCATTTTGAACAACTTTCATGTTTTGAGTTTTTCCATTTGAGGCTTGGAAATAGGAGTTTTAGGCATTGGCTAAAATGACCTATAACTGACAAATGACCAAAATACCCCTGTCTTGTTCAGACCATAAGTTGAGTTCCTCAAATCCTATCAAGGACTTCTACCACCCAAATTAAAGCTAAGAAGATGCCCTCTAACATTCATGTTGACAAAGAGATCATAGGAATCATCCTACTAGGGCAAAAGTTGTCTGCAAGTTGGGTGACTTTCAAGGACCCAGATTCACACACCTCTACTGACCTGTAATTTGTCAAAACCATAACTTGAGCTCTGTAACTCCTATCAAGGACTTCCACCACTCAAATTAAAGCTAAGAACAAGCTCTACAACATTCATGTTGTGGGGAAGATGAGATATCAATCACATCTTGAGCTAAAACTGCCTGGAAGATAGGGATCAAATTAGGGTTTTTCACTGACAATCCTTGGGGACCCTGACTTGAAACTTCTCAAACTCCTCACTCATGATGAGTTGGCCTAGGAATAATCTTTATATCATCTCTATGCATCATTCCATGATCTCATGGCCCTTGGATTGGGTCTCAACCTTCCCCAAATCTTTAGTTATCCTAGGGTTGACCCAGTCAAAACCCTAATTCTATCATTCATGGTTGAATCTTCTGAACTCTTGCATAATGACTTCTCTGGGCTTTATGATGGCTATCAAGAAATCTCATAGGCTTTCTCAAAACATCAAGTTCATTCTCAAAGTCTCAGAATCATCTGAGGGACACTCACAACTCTCAAGTTATGAAGCATACAACCCTGGTTTCAATCCACTTCCTCTGAGGATCTCTTGAACTTTCTAATGAAGGTATCCATTTCCAAACACTCAATGAATAAATAATTGTTGGTCAAATTTTGGGGTGCAACACCTGTTAATATTTATCATGTATATATTCATCTCTTAATCTTGTACATTCTTTCAAAACACTTAATAAATTATTGAAACCATAAAACTCAAAATTTGTGGACTGTTGTTTGTTTGTCCGAGTGACAGACCTTTGGACATTTTCAGGAACCCAAGCATGGAGTTGTGCCCGACATCCGCTCAAAGGCGTAGTTTAGGACACATTGTACACGCACGGCTTCCTCTTGGACTACTTGACAATGACACTTTTTATTTTCGTGCAATCCCGTGTAATTTGCATGTACCCCTCTCCCACTTTCGATGTACGTATTTTGTATTTCTTTGACTGCGGCTTATCGTCTAGGAGCACCCCCAAGGACTAGAATATTTGTTTTCAAACTAATTCTCGATTCGTCGTCGAGCCATTTTTAAACTCACTTCTATTCCACCACGTTTTTGCACGCAAGTACAAGTCAAACCCTTGATCCAACGTCAAGCGGATTTTCTCAACTAACTTTCAAACCAATTCACCATCTTCTTCTTTTACAACTTTTTTCTCCTAAAAACTCGGTCCCGTACCGAGTGCATTTTCAAACTCTTTTTCATAATAAAACTTGGATGGTCGCAGAGTGGTTAGGCGTAGGCTTTCTCCTATCTCGAGTGCTTGACATTACCTTTAGGGTTCACTGTCGCAAAACACTTACCATTCAAAATCAAAACACCCTTTAATAAGAGAATGAAGTTCTCTTTGTATTGAACTAAAGAGAGAGTATTGAGTGTAGACTTCTTCCTCTCCGAGTGTTAGGATACTCACTATAGAGTGTGTAGTCCCGATACTCGTCTTTCAATACGAAGATGCTTGTATTCGCCACACCATTTTCATAATAAAACTTTGAGATAAAGAATTGGGTACTACCCGCAAGGGGTTACTATCCGAGGACCTATTTCACCCCTAGAAAACAACTCCACAAATCAAATGTGACATCTTGCCTCGATAGGCGAAAACTATCTTTTTAAAAAGGATATGTTACGTCCATTCTACCGTAAACAGGTTACACTAAAGTCTCCAATGAGCGAGCAGTAATACACCTAACTGCTAGAATGCGCTACGTTAATATCACCTACAAAAACACAGGTTAGCCGTATCACAAACTACGTTGCTCTGATTTCTCATGCCAGTTGGAAATACGTAGGGATAAGACAGCGATGTCTTGGCGAACACCCATTCTTTCCTTTACCCGTAGTAGGCTGAACTACGGCTGCTCTGATTCTTTACTTCTTTTAAGTAAGGATATGTAGGCACAGGGGCCCCAATCCTTGCCGAGCACGTTCCCATCTCTATATTTGTAGTCTCTCGAACTACGTCGACTCTGACTTTCTCATATCTGTTGAGAATACGTAGGCCTAGGACCGTGAAGTCCTACCGAGTCTCTTTTTTCCCTGTTACCTCTCTTTCCCTTGTTTCTAACCTTTCTCTTTATCCCATGGAACACTCTTTATAAGCAATATATTTTATCAGATACCTTCACACGTAGACAAACAAATGGTTCCTATCGAGTACGATGGATGCGAGGGGTGCTAATACCTTCCCTTCGCATAACCGGCTTCCGAACCTGTTATCTTGGTTGCGAGACCATCTTATCCGTTTCTTTCTTAGGGTTTTCTCGATGTTTTTCCTTCCCCTCATGGGATAAAGAAAGTTCGGTGGCGACTCTTCTGTCTTTCTTTTCGTCTCCCCGTCGTTGCACGATTTTTCGAGTAGCGACATATATATCATAACAGTTGTTTAGCGAAACCGTTGTTAAATATGTTACATTAAAAAATCACAACAGTTGTTTAAGTTAACTGTTCTGGTAGGTAGCGCTACATAGATACAATCATAGTCGCACGTCTGTGGTGGAAAGCATCATACATACTATCACACCTTACCTCACAACGGTTGAACCAATGTGGTGGTATCCATTTTACAACTGTTGTGATATGTGTTTTTCGTAGTAGTGATTTCACACACCTTAATATTATAAGTATATTCCCTCCATTCCATAATGAGTGGTCCAGTTGACCATTTCATATAGATTAAGAAAAAAAGAATAAATAAAAGCGAGAGAATAATATTTTTATTAAAATACACCTTATTAAGCATTGAGAAATATGAAAGTAATATTAATTAGAAGGTAGAATTGAAAATATACATTAAAAATTGAAATGAACCATTTATTTTAAAACACTTTTTTATTCTAAAAAGATATTTTTTATAGAACGAAGAAAGTAATATTTACCACGTAGGCATGTTGAATATAGGTTGGAGAATATTACTTTAGTCTAAAGTTATATATGTTTCTAGTAAAATATATTTATTCTAAATAATATATTACTTTAGAATGAAGTTTAAATGTTTCTTTTTTTATTATGCTATTTACTATTTCTTACCCAATCTTTTTTAATTTATTTTTTTTTCATATTTTTCTTTTTTATTTACCAATTTTTTAGACGTATTAAAATAATTTACATATTTTGGTACATTTTATTTTAATTTTTCTTAATAATTTATTATTTTATTTAATCTATTTATCTATCATAAATATAAATAATTAACAATGTTACCGACAAATATATATAACTAATATTGTACTGCCTTTAAAAAGAACAAATAAATATGAACAAAATAGTTTGTAAATGAGACAAATAGTAAATATATTTATTTTTTTTTCTTTCTTTTTTCATATTTTTAATTTAAGAATAATTGTCAAAATGATGTAATTTATGATATAGGAAATATGAATGAAACCAATCTCTACTCTCAAAACAGATATTTATCATCAAAATAATGAAAGCATTACTAAGGAAACAAATCCAATATACAATATTGATGACACATTTTTCCTTAAAGGAATTAATCATTCCTCAACTATGGAGAAACTCACCTTGTTCTTGTTTCTGGAAGTCCAATGAACAACTCAGTCTCCACATAAGAACTTAGACTAATATAATCTGCATAAGGTTTTCTTGCTTGCTGTGATGAAAAATTCACCTTCTCAGAGAGCCTAACATTTTCAGCAACTAAGGCTTTTTCCTGAATTGCATTCAAAACATCGCTTTAGTAAGAGTCTTTTTAATTTTCATTGTATGTAACACCCGATTTTTCGGAGCGCTGAAGATGGTATACTAATTCTAAATTGCAGACTGTATCATAAAATTCATCTGCAACTGCATCAGCTCACAATTGCAATCGAACCTTAAAAATATGCAAATATAACCCAAAAACTTTTTACCTTTTCTTTTAGCTGATCAATTTGTTCCCTGTAAACCTGAATCTGAAAAAGAGAAAACTCTTATTTGATAAAAAAACCTAGAAAGTTTAAAATTTTATAGGGTTTTTAATCATTCTAACCTTTTTCGCTCGAATTTTGGTTATACTCCTTTCCAACTGTTGCTCTATCCGTTCTAGTTCATCAATGGAACAACTCCCTAAACCTTCTCCTAACAGTTTTCTGCAAATGCGACGTATTTTCATCTTAGACATTGAATATTGTAAAAATAATTGTGAACATGGATATAAATTGAAGATGTTTAACCGTTTTGAAGTCTCAAGAAGCTCAATCTTTTTCATCATGTTTTCTGCTTCTTCCTTCAAATGCTGTAATAGTATATATTATATACATACATTTCAGCGTCTACAATTTTTTTATATACCAAACATCAAGAAAATTATTAAGTTAACCTGGGTATTTTCAACTGATTCAGATGTTGTTGAAGTATTATTATTTCTGCTATGATTGCAGTATCTTTCAATTGTTTCTAGAGTGCTGTAACATTAAAATAAAATAATTCAGGGTCCAAATATTATGTAAGTTATGTAAGTAGGTACTTAATATTTGTTAGAAAAGGAGAACATGCAAGGGTACATGTGAGAAACAGAAAATGAAAAACAAATATTTTTGTAAAATGAATATAAATAGAACAAACCAAAATGAAGAGGGTTCCTCCATTTCAACAAAAATGGGAAACTTAAGTCATTGTGTGTTAATACTAGTAAGAAGTAATGTGTCATAAAAAAGTTTCTACTTCAGTAAAAAAAAAATTAACTAACCATATTAAAGTTATTTGAAATTGCAATATCAAATTGAAAGGGTTTTGAGTTACAAGGACTAACATTCAAGTGAGATCTATTAAAAGAAACAACAACAATAATCAAATTTTATTCTATTAAATGGGATTGACTATTTAAATTAAATTTTATCATAATGTTCTACTAAGATAGAGTTTCTATCAAATTCGTTAATTTTAAGATTTTTCTTAATTGTTTCTCTTAATTTTTTTTTAGAGATACCTTTATATCTAATTGTTTCACTTCTCTTCATCTGCTTTGTTCTCCTTACAATAGAATTCACATGTCTTCTCTCTACGTATCCAAACTATCTAAACCTATTTTTCACCATCTTTTTTAATATAGATATTATCCCAACCATCTCTTAATATTGTCATTTTTACTTTTATTCAAGATAGTCTTACCACACATTCAACGCAATATCCTCATCTCCGCTACACTTAATTTATTTTCATTTTCATTCTAAATTCAATATTCTGTCTCAAACAACATCACATGACTTACCGTTGTCTAATAAATTTTTCCCTTTAGCTTGAGTGGTACTTTTTTGTCACATAAAGTCTCTAAAATCCTCCTCCATTTCAACCACTCAGCTTGAATTTGATGGTTAACATCCCCATCTATTTCTCAATCATTTTGTATTATGGATACAAAATATTTAAACTACGTGACTTGTGGGATTATATGGTCTCAAACTTTTACCTATAGGTTAAAAACATTTCTTCTTTTTCCGAACTTACATTCCATATATTTTGTCTTACTTCTGATTAAGCGAATGCCATGTGTTTCTAAGGTTCATATCTAAATCTCCAACCTCTCATTAAAATTCTCCTTCGACTCTCTAAGTAGGACTATCTCATCTTCAAAAAGTATACATCTCGGCGCTACTTAGATGTATCTCGTGAGTACATCCAAAATTAAAGTAAAAATGTGTGGATTTAGGGTTGAACCTTGGGATATCCCTATTGTAATTAAGTGAAAGTCTATCATATGCTTCTCCAAGTCAAAGATAATTAAATGTAAGTCTTATTGGTCCATTTGATACTTCATTAAACGACGTAGTAGATAGATTACTTCTATGGTCGACCTCGCAGACTGAAAATCAAAGTGATTTTTTCGTAACTTGAGTCTCTTTTCTCAGTCCATTCAATGACCCTTTCCCAAAACTCCAAGGTATGAGTCATAAGTTTAATCCCACTATAATTTTGACAGTTCTGCACACCCTATTCTCCTTATTTATTAAAACATTATTGTTTATTCCCCATTCATCTAGCATTTGCTTTGACCTTATAATTTCGTTAAAGAGTTTGGTGAGTTACTCAATGACCATATCTCTAACAACTTTTCAGACATCAATAGGTATGTTGTTTGACTCAATCGCCTTATTTTTACTCATCGTTTTCAACGCTTCTTTTACTTCTTGTTTTTTAATCTAACAGTAGTAATTGTATTTTCAATCCACTTCTCATATCCTTCATTAAATAAAATTTTTGAATATGTCGTCCACATATAGTTTATATCTTTATTATGAACCCAGACTTTGTCTTCTTCATATTTAACACACTTCACATGATCTAATTCTCTTGTTTTCCTTTTTCTTCCCTTAGCAAGCCTATATAAAGATTTTTCTCCCTCCTTAATTCCTAAAGATTGATATAAACCTTCAAAATCTTGGTTTCTTGTCTCACTCACTGCCTTCTTAGTATCTTTCATATTTTTCTTATGTTTTTCCAAATTTCGACATTTTTACACCTCAACTATTCTTTAAGAAATTCAGTTTTTACTCTAACTTTACTCTTAACACATCCATTCCACCACCACGATTCTTTACCCTTATGTCCAAAACCTCTTGATTCTCCCAACATCTCTATAACTAGTTTCCTAATCTCTTGGGTCATGTCATTCCTCATATCGTTTGCACTTTCTTGTGTATGTGTGAACTCTTCCTCCAAAATCTCGTGTTGAAAATTCTCATGTTTTTCGTCCTTAAAATGCCACCACTTGATCTGTGGAACTCCCATGTGATTTCTTCTCTTCACTCTCCTTTTAACTCTTACATTCATAACATATATTCTATGATGGATAATAAAACTCTCTCCGGATATAACTTTACAGTCCAAACAAATCTATCTATCAGACTTTTTAATAAGAAAAAAAATCCATCGAAATCAAATTGAAAGTTTATATTTTTATTGTGCAGTTGGTGAAATAAGCATTTCACATAAGTTATAATAAACTCAAGTGATCACAATGGTTGGAAGATATAAGTTGTTTGTTAAGTCTTTAACTACGGAATAAATAAATAGTATTGGAACACTTCATTATATGTAATAAAAGAAAAGTACTGGAATAAATAAATAAAATATAAAACAAGTACACGACATAAACAATACCTTGAGCTTGCAAATTCATAAAGTCTCCCTCTTGGTGAAAAAACAATAAGAGCAACTTGAGCATCACACAGAACTGATAACTCAAAAGCTTTCTTCATCAAACCATTTCTTCTCTTTGAGAATGTTACTTGTCTGCTTGTTGCGTTCTCTATACGCTTCATTTCTGTCTTCCCTCTCACCATCTTATAAATTTGCTGAAATCACATCAAAAAGTGGTATGAAAATTATAAATAGAAAAGGAAATGAAAATAACAGGAAAATCCTCACCAAGAAAGAAAAGCACAAATCTCAAACCTTAAAAGAAAGAGGGAATGAAAGTATATAATAGCTTTTAAGATCTAGAAAAACTATGGAAGATGAAAAAAATGCAAGAGAATTATTAGAATCACTTACCAACCAATCTAACCACAATCTTAAGGCTGGAAGAAGCAAAGAAATGGGAAGTTTAATTTAAAAAAATATATAAATAAAGTTTTCAACTAAAAGTGTGAGAAAATTGTCAAAGTATTTTGATGAGAAAAATAAATGGTGCAAAATAGCTTCCTAGGAAAAGGGTTTATATAAACACCTAGGTTAAAGATTTATATCTCATATCAAAGAAATGATTTTTCTCAACTTACCAGCAAGAAAAGCAACTTCAAAAGGAAACTGATTTTCAGCAAATATAGAGAAAATGAAGGAGAGAAGAGATAGGAATAAAGTGTTGAGTCTAAAAAAGGAAAATAAGGTTAAAAATAAATAAGAACATAGGAATCAAAAGAAAGAAGAAACTATGCATCCCCAAAAGTAGCAATACATATAATTTAGGTAACTTAAAAGGAAAAGGGTTGTTTTTGGATTTGACTATTTTTTAGCTGAGAGAAAGCAAATACACAGACCTACCTTTCCATATTAATCAACCTCATCTCATTTTGCTACCCCACCATAATAACAAACAAATTATTTTTTATATAGATATTTAAAAATGGAACTTCATATTAACTTGTTTTGGTAAAATCAGACTCTACTTGGCCAAAAAAAGAAATTTCTAGATTCAAGTCTATAATGAAAATGATACTGTCAAATTTTCTATGAAAGGAAAAGGAAAAATAAAATATGTGTGTGTGTGTGTAAAGAAAGGACAGGTCTATGTTTTATTATTTGTTAGTGCAAGGACAAATATAGGTAGTAGTGTTATTAATGGATTCTTGATATTTATTTCATACTTTTCCAACTCATTTCCCAATGCCTGGTTTCTATAGTTTGCTGGTAAATGCTCTTTTTTACTTTTACCGAGTATAAAGTTGTTGTATAATATATACTACAATTTACATAAAATTTGTAGGACATGAGATTGCATGATTTTTAGTATAGTTTATATTATTTTTTTGCATTTTTTTATTAATAGTTTATGTTTTTCTTCTAATTTTTTTAATAAGATTTTAAAAATTGTAAGAAAGTTTTATTTGTGTCGAAATCATTCTAAGAAAAAAATAAAGATTTGTAAGAAAACTTAAAACACAAGATGTAAGAAAAATAATAAAACTGAAGAAATCAATAATTTTCCATAGTTTTCTTGAAGTTGATCGATGTTCATGGTGCTTTACTGGAAAATTAAAGAGTTCGCTTGCTCGAAGACAGAATTTTTCCTTTAAATTTGAGATTAAAATTAGTTGTCAGAATTACATTTTTGAGAACTACTTTTAAAGGCAAGGCACTGAAGCTTTAAGATCAACATCCATGAGAATGATTGTCAATGTTATATTAGTATATATAGAAATGACCATTTATTTTTGAGGATTTCTTATTGCACTTTATATTTTAGACACATTTGCAAAATTTTAAAAATATTTTTAACTTTTTAAAATATATCTTTTGACGTATCCTAATACAAATATTTAATTTGTTTTTGAATCAAATTTAAATTTTATAAATAAATTTATTTTAAAATTATATTTTTGAAAAATTTACAGAAATATATTTTCAAAAACAGTTATATTAACTTTTTACAATGCATGCATGCACTTGCATCATCTTATATGAAATAATAGTTATACTAATTTTAATTCATTGTGACATTAAATTATCTAAACAATTTTATTTTTTTTATAGTTCTTTCAATCACTAAATCTAATATATCATCACTAATCATAATTTTTTTAACTATTCTATTTTAAATATGTTAATTAATTTATATTGATTTAATATAAAATGATAGTTATACATGCTACATTGATTATAAAAAAATATTAAATAAAATTGAGTACAATAACTAAATAAATAACTCTATATTATATAAAAATATATTAATTAAATAAAATATATTTTTTTTGAAATAAAAGAATAAATTATTGCCAAAACTCGTCATATTTAGACAAAATCTTCTCATTTAATATATACAAAAATAAAATTAGACAAAAGTGAAATAAAACAATTATAGTAGTAACATAAAATAATATCGAAGACATTATAACAAAACATAAAAAAATAGATGAGATGAGAGATTAGGGAAGAAGAAAAAGAAAGAACATAATAGATGCAATATTAAAGAAGAAAAGTGCAAGAAAACAGTAACATAAAAATATTTTTAGGTTTCTTCGTTCTTTCTTTGTAAATTATAAAATAAGGATATAAATAAATAATTGGTTAAATGTTTAATTTATAGGCAAACATACCCTAGAACTTAAGGAGGATACTATTGGATATAATAGAACTGAGGGGTTCATAACAAATATCAATCACTTAACCAACTCCCGAACTTTAGCGTCCCACCCTTTAACTTTTAGATTTTATCATTATTTTCCTCTCACTTAGGACGAATAAAAGATGATGGCGACTCTGATATTTTTGCCGGCCGCGAAAGCTGGTGACTCTGCTAGGGAGCTCTTACACTTCTCTAAAATTAGAGTCCACACTAACCTTGAATTTTTGGGTTCTTGTTTGTTTACCATGTTTGTTTATATATATATATATATATATATATATATATATATATATATATATATATATATATATATATATATATATATATATATATATATATATATATATATATATATATATATATATATATATATTATCATTAAATTATTTTTTATATACGAATGAAGGAGAGCTTATGAAAAGGTGATACATCTCAGGAGACAGATGAATATCATTGAAGAAGAATGTGAGGATATGAGAGAGTGGGGCATTTAAATAGAGAGGCTTAATCAAGAGATGGCTGACATCATTGAAAAAGATAAGGCTATCATGTGGAAGCTTTAAGAGAAGGTTGAGTATTATAGGGAGATATACTTGAAGTTGGTCATATTGCCCAATGACCTAATCTATGAGGTTCCCCGATGCTTGAAGGCAGCCGAAGACATGAATATCATTTTCAAGCCTATAAAGGAGATCGTTGACTTCCTCAAATCATGTCGTTATATGGTGGACGAGTTTAGGGCCAGAATTAGGAAGCGTTGTTAGATTTTCCCTTATGTAATGATTTTCAATTTGTGTGTTTCTTCCCTTTCCAATAATTGTGAACAACTTTTAGGGTTTTTCCTTGTTATGTCCATAAAGTTATGAAATAAGTAAAATATTTTAATTTTTGTTATTCTTAGTTTTTCTTATAATTAATGGTTAAGATTCCTAAAAACAATTATTATTTTTGCATACTCATACATTCACGCATGCATAATAAAAATAAGAGAATGAAAATCATTTTCTTCAACATTTTCTTCCAGAATCATCGGGCGTAACAATCTAACTTTCCGACCCAACACTCGAGCCTACCGAAAGAAGGTCATGGATCAATTAGAAAAAAATCAAGTCACTCTTAGAGGAGACGTCGACGTTGTCAAAGGAAATGTGCAAGAGATGAAGGAAAAGATTGACCAACTGACTCGCGCAATTCAAAACTTTATAGCAAGGGAAATTGAGTCGAGTCACAGAAGGAATGTCACAACAAGGCCACATGCAAACTACCTCCTCCAGTCACTCAGCCAGCACAAGGTGACTTTGCACCTGCTAGTCAGCGAACACCGTCTTCATCTGCTAGTCAGTCAGCACCATCTTTACCTTTAACTCATAAAGCACCATTTGCAACTTTAACTCAAGCATCACCGAAAAAGAAAAGGAGACTTCAAAGAGGTCTAAAACATGTTCTAAGTCAACCCTAATAGTTTTGTTTTGTTGTTTTTATATATATTGATTGATGTAATGACTTATAATTTCACTTTGTAACTTATGGCTTATAATGCCACTTTTGTGTATCATATGACTTATAATACCATTTTTTAATTAAATTATGTAATTTTGTTGATGACTATTGGAATGATATGGATTAATATGGTTATGTAACATAATTCTAAGTTATATGCATTTCTGTTATGATATGGTCCAACATTGTTATACTAGTGTTTTGTAGTTTGGTATCAATGATAATGACAGAGTATTCCTAAAACAAATTGCTTATCATAACATTATCCAATAAACCAACAAAAATACGTTTATAAACTCATAGCACACAAAATACATAAACTCATGACATTGTTGATTGCACTCATAACATCATGACAGATACAATACACTCATAAACTCATGACAGATGAAATCTTAAGCTAAACATACATTGTTACAAAAACAACATTTAACCCAAAGCTCAAAATCCCAAGCACAATGGTCATTTTCAGTCATTCCCTAGTGTGGAGAACCTCATTCTTCAATTTGTAAAATTTCTTCTTTTGCCTTTGAATCTTCAAATCCCTTTCTTCAACAATTGCCTCATCTAACCATTTGTAAAAACTACAACCCTTGTTAATATGATTTTTGTAATTTCTACAATCCCAAATTTTTTTCCAAAGTTCACATTGTTCATGTCATTCACAGTACGAATGACACATTCATCTTGGGAAAAATACTTCATTCTCTTGTTTCTACGAAGTATAGATCCAGTTGTTCCAATGAAATGATTGTTTGACATTGAAACACTGTTTGACAACTTTGACATTGAAGAAGATGAAAACCCTAGAAACACAACTTGAAATCCATAAAAGTGGAATGAAATTTGAAACACAGTTCGATTAAAACGCATATGAAAACACAAGAAAAAAAAAATCAAAAAAAATAGATGAATGAATGAAGAAGCTGCTTGAATACAAGAGACAACAACACATGTTGAATATAAATGAAATCCTTAAACACGTTCTTAAATCATTTT